TCGCGAGCTTCAAACAAGAAGACATTGCCGTGAAGTTGTTGCATACGCGTAGTGTTTGCCCGGTCGACCTCCTGGCGCGTGGGGAAAAGTTCTGTGGCTTCCACACTCTCGTCTCCCTTTGGTAGTGGTCGTTCCAATTGCTTAAATTTCTGGATTGAGTCTTGAGTCAGGCGGCCTTCTCGCATCTCGTTGAGCATGTTCGCAAAGACTGGGTCTTTTTGACGGAAGACGTGATGCAGACCAATGGTGTGCTCGATGCTTGTCGTCCAGGTGCCTGCATCGAAAGCGAATTTGGCTTGCCGTCCAGACTCTGGTACTGGGGGTAATTGGAAGAAGTCGCCGGTGATGACAAGCTGGATACCGCCAAACGGCCTGCCGTTGTTGCGAATCGTACGCGCAATGGACTCCAGTTTGTCGAATAGGTCGCCGTCCACCATCGACACCTCATCCATGATCAACACTTTCGTGCGCATCCACCGCTGCTTTGCTTTCTGGTTCCGCCTAATCTTCTTGACCAAGTCCTCTACAGGCTCCTTGCCCAGTCCGATACCTGCGAAGCTGTGTAGGGTAACACCGCCGATGTTGCATGCTGCTAGGCCTGTTGACGCTGTCACTGCCACGCGATCTGGCTCGCGAGCGTATTTCCGTCGTAGCGCAGCGATGATTTCACGAAGTAAGACTGATTTACCGGTACCTGTCGTTGTCAGCATGGGCGTTTACAAACAATCCACTGCACATACCAGCAGAACCAGTGAAGAATACACTCTTCTTGTACTCCGTCACCAGGTTCAGCACATTCTGTTGCTCTTCACTGAGGAAGATCTTGTGGATGGTGTTCTTCTTCTTTTTCTTAATGGCCTCCTTCATGTCCTCGTCGGTGCCAAGGTTCGCCTTCGCTTGAGCTTTGTTGGTTTCTCTAAAAGTCTTCTGCTGCTGCTTCAGCGCGCTCTGGGTCGTGTTCCAAGGGAATTGTGATTTCGACTCCTTCACTGGTGTTGACACAGCCTTGTCGGCCTCCTTGACCACTCTTTTCCTGGGTGGCGCAATCTCCTCTTCCTCCTCCTCTTCCTGGATCGATTGCTGCTTCTGGGCCTGTGTCCACGGTAGAGTACGACGCTTTGTCTTCGGTGGCTCTGGCTTCTGCGGTGTCTTGTAGTGCGATAGAGGCGAGGAAGACCACGGTATTGGCTGGCTACTAGGCTGCTCTGGCTTGATATCCGCAGTATGTGCTCTTGAGTTGTATCCCGAATCGGCTGAGCCTCCCGAACCAACGCGAGGTAAGGTAGGATATGTGACAGTGCCCTTTGTCGCCGGGTCTTCAACATCGAGATCTATGTCGCTATCGAAGTCGTCCTCATCAAACAAAGCCTGGGCGAGGACGCCGGGGTTGTTGCGCGAAGATGTGTGGAATGCAGCCGGCAGATCGTTCTCCTTCTCGTCAATCTCAGCAATGTTGAGTGAGGGGTAGTCAAAGTCATCCTCTTGCGAGTTCAACGACTTGACCAGCCCATTCGACGTCCGCTTGGTCCCTTGTGTAGTTGCCCCAATGGCGGCTTTCGTCTCGTTTCCTACAGGACGCGTCGACGATGTCTTTGGCCCAGTGCGATTGAAGGCGTTCCCGAGCGAAGCCTGCTTGTAGGCGTTGTTTGGGGGTGATGTAGACGCGATGGCATTGTGGTTCTGCACCGCTGACTTGAACATGGTAGTCGTAGTGTGCGGGCGAGTGGAGAGGTAGCCGAAGTAGTGGCGGGGTGTGGTTGTGGGCGAAGCGGTCGGCGGCTGCAGGTGTGATGTCGAGAAACGCGTACGCGGAAGGTGCGTGAGGGACCGTGTTGGAGGCGAATACGTCCGAGCGGGATGTGGGATGCAAAAGAGCGGCGACCGTTTCGGATTGTACGGTTTAAGCGACGCACCTCTCTTCCCGAGGGTGGCAAGCATACAGCAAACAAAGAGAGCGCCGACAAAAGAAAGGATTACCGAGATGATGTCGAGTGTGTGCATGCCATCCGGCGCGGTGGGGTGTGAATGTTAGCATCGATTAGCGGACGGGCCCACAAAACGCGACACGACATCTCAATGCGGATGCGCTAGAACAATACGTCACGTGCCGTCATCACAACGGTGTTTCTGCGGTGTATCTGAAAGCTTGATGGAACATGCAGGATCCCAGGCACCTTGACGCAGGTACGGGATTTGACTGCCTCTAGGCGGCTCTATGACGTACTGGTGCAGACCTCACTTTGGCGAGAATATGTCTTGTGTGCTTGTGGCTTCAGTGCCTCGTAAATTCTATTACGTCTCCGTCACCATCAGTACTACCATCTAGTCCACAGTATAGTATACTATCCAAAGTCATACCGCGACGACCAGCGCGCGCCACAAGAAATCCGCTTCTGGTATCATAAGAACTCGCTTTGGTATCAAGAAGAGAATTCGCTGGTATCAAGGAGAAGATTCAACGTCATAATAGATAGTGAAGGGGTAATCAGAGCCGAGGCCTGAAGCAACAGAAAACTAACACGAGATAGGAGATTCATTTTGAACCAAACGACCGTGACCCAGATTCCACAAGAAATGTACCAGCCATGCCATAAGACAACAACGCTTGCACCATTTTGGACAACGGAATTAATAACGACTCCCTAAGAACATAAAACCGAGTAGCTGATGAAATATGACCAGAAATCGGAGCTATCCAAAACAGCGCCCCCGTAAGCAAACAGGCGTGTTGGGACAACAGAGGGCACAGCGCTGAAGAGACAAATCTAACAAACGAGGTGCTTAGCCCTGGTATCCTCCAAAGCCATTCTGGTTGAAGGCTGCCTGAGGAGACTGGCCCCATTGAGGTTGTTGGGGAGCGCCACGGCCGTAGCCGCCAGCGCTGCCTGGCTGCTGCATCTGTTGCTGGTAAGGCATGCCAGGGTTGCCAAAGGCTTGCTGCTGCTGCGCGAAGGGTTGTCCGCCGGGGCTGGGTCCTGCCCGCGCATTAGATTGCTTGTTTCGATACTGCAGCTTCCTCCGGTGCCGCTCACCTGAGGGTGACATGGGACCACCTTGTGGCCCACCACCATACTGAGGAAAGTACGCGCTTGGCGTCTGAGGATAAGCTGAGTTGGGCCCGCCCGCAGGCGAGTATCCCTCAAACTGGCCAGTCGGAGGACGGTCTTTGCCCCACTAGATTAAAAATGTGAGCTAAGAAATAACAAAAGAGAACGAATCAACCTACGCTGCACTTCAGAGGACGGCCATTGACGTTGTAGCCGTTGAGCTGGCAGATGGCCATGGCAGCATTCTCATGAGTGTCCATTTTAATGAAGGCAAATCCGCGGTCAGACTGGAAGCGGGTTTCGGTGACATAACCAAAGTTCTGGAAAAGCGGCACAAGGTCAGATTGAGAAGTGTAAGGAGTGAGGTTCCCGACGTAGCACGTGGTCTGCCACTGAGGAGTCTGAGCAACGACCATGTCGTAGCTCTGCACGCCATGGGTGGGGAAATGGTGGTGTCCGAAGGGAGTGGTCGGCGTCATACCCATGGAAGCCATGGCCTGCTGCTGGGAAATGGAAGGCTGTCCTTTCTGGTTGGCCCAGTTGCAGCGGATAGCGCGAGAGCCAAGCCACTCTCCGTCCATAGAGCTGAGAGCGCGATCAGCATCGGCGCGATCCCTAAACGCGACGAATCCGTAACCTCGCGACCTGCCCGTCTTCATGTCCCACATAACGCGAGCCTCGGAAACGGGACCAAAGGTAGAGAAAGCTTGGAGGAGAACCTCGTCATTGACTTCGTTGGAAAGGTCACCGACGAAGATGTGGAAATGGTTAGATGTGTCTTCCTTGGCTGTATTGTTAGATTGGTAGGCCCAGTTAACACGGATTTCCTGTATCTGTCAGAACCGCCAGCACGTAATTGTCGAGCGCGCTTACGTTGTTGTGGATGCGGCGGCCGTTGAGGGTGGCCATACCACGCTCGGCGGCGCCAGGGTCATCATACTCGACGAAACCGTAGTTGAAGCCCTTGGAGTTGAACTGTTAGCGGTCAGCGGCACATGAATGTTGCAACACTTGCAAGATAAGCCCGGCCAGCTGTCAAGAGTTATGCAGCAGGTGCGGAGTGTTATCTTACAGAAGGAGAACTTGCAGTCTTGTCTGGGATAATCTTGACGCTCTGGACATGGCCAGTCGTCTCGAAGATCTGACGCAACACGTCCTCGGTGACCCGCGGGTCCAGTCCACCAACATATAGCGCCCGCTTGTTGGGCTCGGGGGCGGCGCGACGGGGGACGTAGCCAGGCTGGCCGCTGGTCGGGCTCATGGGGTTGCCCGACATGGGCGAGCTGATGGCGGTCGGGATGGGGTTGTTGTTCTGGGGGATAATGACGGGTGCAAGCGGCGGCGGCGGCATGTGCTGCTGCGGCTGGCCCTGATTCTCGTAGCCGGGAGCGCCAGCGGAAGGGGGAGGAGGCAGCTGTGCCCCGGGGTTCTGCTGGTCGGCCATGGCTGCTGTCGCGGGGATGCGCACAAGAAACGAGTCGCAAGAGGCGCAATTGGCGGCGGCGGGTATCGAAGACGTCGGTGGTGATGCGACGGTCAGGGCGACGAGGCCACGGGGAGGTCGAGGCTGGCGGGCGGGGTGGTGGCAGCTGGGTAGGCGGCAAGGAAAGTCAGTATGGAAAGCGCGACTAAGGCTACCAATAGAGAGCGGACAGCACTAGGAAAGGCAAGGGAAAACAAGAGGAAGAGAGATAGGAGAGACGAGCGCTGCGCCGAGCTGTGACGGCAAAGCTATAATCTCCACTGTGGGGTGAAGAAGGAGAGGTGTGAGAGGTGAGCGGGCGAGTTCGAAGAATTAGCGCCGCAGGCCACAAGGCACCCGAAGGAGCGGGAGCTATGAACGTAGTACCGTACTGCCGCTAGCCCAGCCTGCTAGCGGACCCTCTTGAGGTCCCGCGCCGAACCCATCACTGACACACGGCCGTACCTTTGCCTAGCACCTGCATGCCCATCATGGCCACCGCCGTAAACTCCACCCAGCACCTGGACATGCTCCAGAGCATGCTCAATGCTGTGGTATGTCCGGTCACGTGTCTGCTTCTGCGATCGCGCTAACATCCATAGTTCCTCCATTCTGGGCGCTTTCTCAAAGAGGAGCAGGCGGGCGGCGGCACCGGGCGCATGAGGCAGCAGCTGCAAAAGGTCGTGCCTTCTGCTACCGAGCGCTTTCACGATGCGCTCGACGAGCTCGAGAACGAGGTCCGTCTGGCGCAGACCGTCCTGCGCCGCGACATGGCGCTGCTGAAGCAGGACCGAAAGAAGAAGGAGGCCGCAGCGAAGCAGCACGAAGTCGAGAAGGCGCGACTGGCAGCGGAGGCGAAGAACGTCCCGGCGCCAGTTGAGGAAGAGCCGGTGAAGGTCGAAAAGGTTGCGACACCAGCAGCGCCCGAGCCAGCCGTGTCGCAACCAGAACAGGCGCCCGAGGCAGCGAGCGCAAAGGAGCCCGAGGCAGAAGAAGCCTCCAAGAAAGAAGACGACGCCGCGAAAGACGCGAAAGCACCACCACCGCCGCCCATCGAGACCGACGTCGAGCCTCCGAAAGACCCCCTCTTCGACGGCACGCCCACCACCGGCAACGCGCAAGAGTCCGAGTTCGACTTCGATGCCATGTTTGGCGACGCGATGGACACATCGGGCGACAACCCGCACCACGACATGATGGATACCTCAGGCGACATGGACTTTAACCTCGATGACGGCAACGACGGACCCTCGCTACTACGCGGTCTCGAGGACTTCGCCAAGGACAGCGATGACGACGCGAACCAAGCCTCGGCCATGGACATTGACTTCACCATGGCAGACCTGCCAGGCTTAGATATGAATACCGACGCGACTGCGAATACGAGCGATAATGCGACGGCCGCGAAGCCAGCGGAACCAGAGCCCGAGCCTGCAAAGGCCGAGGAGCCCAAACCCGCCGAACAGCCGCCGGTCGAGGAGAAGAAGGAAGAGCCGATCACTACTACCAACGACGAGATGATGGATACCATGACTACGGATAACCTCGAAGATCTCTTCAACATGGAAGAATACGAGAACCCCGAGCAGTCGCAGTTCGACGACGCCTTCTTCAATTTCGAGTAGTAATCGGTCTTGCATATACGGCGTTAGTTTACGCGCTGGATAGCGCTTGCACGGCATTGCAGGACATGGGCAGGCTCACGGCATTAAGATTACGGCGTATTGGAAGCATTTTGATACCCCAGCATATACCAGGAGGTAATTGTAAGACATTGAATTGAAGTTTATATACCACGACCATTATGATAACACGCCCGATCATTCTCATCTAACTACTAGCTTGTAATGGGATGCCTTTCCTGTTCCCCTATTCCCGGTGTAAGAGTGCTCTGGTTCGACCACGTCTCCATCGCTCTCGATAACTTTATAACTGTTCTCTACACTCGGGCCTGGGTCGCCAAGGGTCTTTGTCAAATGGAGAAGCTTGTCGTTATAATATATGAGGTTATCCACGTGCCGCCGGAGCTCTGGCGTTGGTTCCATACCCGTATCGTACACATCCACTTCCGAGTCTGATCCCGAGTCCGTGAGGTCTTCGTCTGCCTTACGTTTTCCAATCAAAATCTCAGACATCAAGCTCAAAGTCGTCCTGGTATTTCGAAATTGCTTCATGATGATGTCGCCCTGCTCAGAAAGTATGCGCTGGTTTGGTAACGTGTCCTTCATGTTTGGAGTAGGCTTCCGGAGCCTGTGAGCAAGCGAATCTTCACCGTTCTCGAACACACCATTTCGATTGGCCCAGTCGGTGAAGACCTTTAGTTGCTGTAAAACAGATCCAGGTGACGCATTCTTCTCTATATACACCTTCTTCGCGTCATCAAGTGGCGCACTCTCTAACATTGTGATATTCTCATCCGACCTTGTTTTGTTATGTGACATCATCCAAGTCGAGAACAAGTCATCTGAGACGGCTTTGAATTCCTCGTAGACCTTAAAGTAGTCCCGAACGCAACTTTGAGCAAGCGTTTTGATTGAATCGTTTTCATCGGAGGTCTCGTCTTCATCGCTGTCCGAAAGCTTGTCAAGGTCCTCTTCATCTAAGTCTGGGTCTCCAAGTTCCATCGCTGCCATTGACTTCCAAAGACTCCAAAGAGACCGATTCCTCTCGGCAAGGACCTCCAGACTCGCTTCGAACTCTTTCATCAAGTTCTGATATTTCGAATTCGCCGTTTCCATATCGGAGTCATCTGAATCTGGAGCGTAGTCTCCTGATATGAACTTTTCCATGAACATTACAGTATCTTCGATCTCGTAGAGTTTCCTGTTAAACTGGGAGTGTAATCTCGAGTCATTCTGAACCTGGCAGTCGAGAGAGGCATTGTCATCTCTGATTAACTTGGTCTGTTCCGCCCATTTGGTCAAATCGTCATACTTTTCCATGATGGCTTCGCGTGGGATATTCTCCTTGTTGTCTTTCTCAGCCTTTTTGATAGTATGAAGTAGTTCAGCGTAGGCGATAATGCAAAGCCGATAAATCGTCTTGATAGTGCGGCTCGTAGGATGCGGTTTGACCAATTGTTCCAGATTATCGATGAGTCCTTCTATTTTCTCAATACTCTGGCTTACGAACGATCTTCGCTTCTCTCGAATAACCAAGTCGAGACCCCATATATGAACCCTCAGATCATCAAGAGTCTGGATAATTGTACCCTGCTTTTGCGCATCGACGAGGCAAAAGTCGTACTTCAGAGGCTCTTTTCTCTCCCCATGCAGTCCTGTGTGTTTTGCCCATCTTCGAAGAACGTCGCGTTGTGCCTTCATATCTCCAGTTGGCAGTGTTTCTCCCTCAATCACTTCATCCAAGTTCTTGAGATCGACTAAAATATCTTTGTAGTCAATCAAGCAATCTTTGGTAAAGTGTCTGGCCTTTTTCAACAACGAGGCTTGCTCTTTAGAAGCTGGTTCCATGTAGGACTTAGAAGAGGTGGAATCGTCGGCATCGTTCTGACCCGCGTTCTGTTCGTCTACCATGTCGTACAGATCGATGAGATTGATTTGCCGTGATATTGTGGCAGTGAATCGATGATTTAGGAGTCGCTGGAGTTTTTTTATGTGTGTATGCGTATGCGTATGTCAGAAAGTGTGCTTCTCTATGTCTCCTTAAATATTATGTGCTGACTCTTCAGAATGTATGACTAGTCTGTCGACTCATCAGTCATGAATCACAAGCATGACTCGAATAGTATAGCACTACAGAATTATCTGGCATCGACCTACCAACCTTGTCGTGTATACGTTTCGAATTGCGAAGTTGTCACATCTAACCCTAAGATGAGTAACAAGGCTTGATCTCTCTCTCAGACTCATTAATGGGTTTTCAAATTGCCTGCAGCAGTAGTCCGTCGAATAAAAAATCCACCTTATAGATACACCATTATGTTCATCGCTAGTAATCCCCTCCTCGATCTATACTCTTCTTCGATGAGTATTCTTTCAAAAAGCCCCTTATCTCGAAATATGAGAAATATACTCCATGCAGTTCTCCCGAGACCTCCTCCGTTAAGATACTCGCATTTGTATCACACTTGCGGGCTTCAGGAGGCACTTGGTCCGGCGGACCATTTCTGCGCGTCATCTAGATCCCAAGAAGACTCTGGTTGTAGACAAGCTTTCGGCTCTCTTGTGTGAGCCTTATTTTCTGTGAATTTGGGTAGCTTAAAGAACCGTATTTTGTCGTAGGGACACGGGCCGATCCTGAGTCCGGTCCCAAGTCCAGTTCTGAGGCTAGCAGTTCTCCTGGGGCGGCCTTTTCTTCCGCGATTTCGGCCATCGTTTTGAGCGCAGCTTCGATGTTATGCAGTGGCTTTAAGACATGATTTAAGACCTGGTTTCTCAATTTGGGACTTGTGTAAGTGTTGTAGTTGAGAGAGACTTTCTCTTCCGAACATACTCCGGTTATCTCCGCCCATGTGATTAGATCCTTACACAGGCGTCCAGTAGCTTCGAGTGCCGGTTCGCTATTTATCGGCTTATCCAAGTCGTCGATGTTGCTCCACACCTTCCCGTAGGCAGCTAGGCAGCGCTTATACATCGTCATGGGAGTGAGGTTCGCATCGATCCAATCTTCAAGCTTCTTGTTGACCGCATCCAGCTGACCGAACATCTCGCTCAAAGTCGGCTCGGGCCTGTTCTTCGGAATCACTGTCTTTGTCGTTGGAGATGTTAACTTAATGCCCTCTCCAGCTTCGTATCGGTACTCACTGGTATTCTCATCTTTGTCATATGTATTGATTTGGTGTAATTGCTGAATGCATGCCGTAGTAGAAGGATCTCGGAAGGAATGGTGAGAGCGGAAAGTCTATGCTGCTATTCATGTTCTCAAATACCTACAATGACTGTGCAGTAAGTATGTATGACCAGTCTCTACTCAATCGTCATGAATCAGAAGTGTGACTCTAAGAGCACCATAGACTCATTCAGGAATGATCCAGAGATCTTGTCATATCTGACCCTATGACGAACAACACGACTTGATCTCACCGTCATACCCGTCGGCATAATACGATGTACTGCCAACAGTCATTTACCACATGAAGGCTCTATTGCTGTACATTTCCACCACTTCCGCTACTAACTATCCTCACGTCAATGGCTCACTCCTCCTTTATCGTCGAGTAATTGTTGCAGTATCATCCTCAGCCTCAGCCCCAGCCCCAGCCGTAGCCTCAGATCTGTTCGATCCAAAAGAGCTTTACCGGAGATTCTTCGTATCTCTCAACAGAGATTCGTTGCATTCGACGAGTACCGCTAGTTGCTCTTTCAGCTTTCTTGCGCGTTCTGTACGGCTAACCTCCAAGACCGACTCCTTGTTTGAGTCTGCTATCGCAATATCTTCCCCCGAAACTCGCTTCTCTTGTAACAGCTCGTACATTGCTGCCAAGGTTGATTCGATGTTTATGAGTGTGTTGACGATTTGATCTCGGCTCTCGCCTTGGTCGACATCCAGGAGTTTGATCTCCAAAGAGCTCTTATCCTCAAGAAGAACTCCGGCTTCCCGGCCCCATCTGATGAATTCGTTACGCTCCAATTCAATAGATCCGGGTAATAGCTTGTTCCTCAGATGACGCAATTTTTCGTCGTTGAAATGCTTCATAACTATCGCATAGTCGGTTGCACAGATTCGGAAGAGCGTCCTGAGACCAGGGCTCGCATCGTCTTTCCTGGCGTCTGATACATCTTCTGAGTCGACTAACAACTCCAGGTCAACAATGATGCACCTCATTTCATTGACCCAACCGCTCAGGGTCGTCCTACAATATGACTCTTGAGGTATGAGTTTATAATGACTCTCTGCCCAAGACTGCTTTTTCTCGCCCACAGTGCGCTCTATGTGACCGATCGTACGTTCTATAGCTTCGAGAGATTTGATAATCGACGATTTTGTAACGGGAGGAAGGTTTTGGAAGTCGTGCTTTGGCGTGTCCTCCCCGTACTCATACAGCCCTGTATCCTTTCCCCATCTTTTCAAAGAATTGAACTCCTCTCGGAGACGAGAGCGTGCCAGGTGCCGATACCGGGGCGCCCCTCCGTCTTATTGTATTCTTTCCATATCTCAGCACAATTTTCCACGTGCTGTTTTGTAAGGTCCCGGGCCCTTTTGATGTCGTCAACCTTCTCGTAGTTTGTGGAAGCGGAGGACACTTGGGAGTCAAGTTGACTTTTCTGCCGCTCATTCGTCATAATGTAACAAGTATCGCTCGATTGCTAAGAGCTTTAGTTATTTGAATGTACGTTTTTTCGAAGTACTCGTATAAGGAAGAGTGATGCTGCATTGCATGGTGTTGAAAATTCCGCACTGACTGTGCCGATAATATGACTGGCCTGCGTACTCATAGCTATGACACAAAAAGGTGACTCTAGGGTCTGAGCGGCCTCTGCTTGTACAGAGGTACTCACATATTCAGTTTGATTGACTGTCATCAGGCACCCCAGTCTACGACGAGCCACCACCCAGCTTGATCTCTCCCTCAAATCCGTTCACATGCATGAAGTTCGCTCGTAACGGAGTCACACTTGTATACCCCTGCGCAACCGCCCATCCATCGTTGCCCGGCTCGCTAGCCTCAACGCTCTCATACACGTCCTTGAACGTCGGCGCCCACTTGAAGTGCTTGTGTGTATACCGCATATGCGCCTGGCCCGAAGGCGTCTCTCGTCCACTGTCTGTGCCAGACGCTCCACCCTGTATCTCCGAATTTGCCTTCAGCTCCTTCTTGCCAAACTTCTCCTCTTGTTTTCGAATCTGGCCTTCGATGTCTGATGGCGTATCGTCTGCTTCGGAGGGCACCTCGACGACCTGGAAACAGCTTCCGCTCTTCCACGAGTTTTGCAGCATGTTCGTCCAGAGGATCTTGCGCTCTCCCACGTTCTCTACTAACGGTACATTGACTGTGTAGAGGTGTGTGTTTGTGTCCCAGTTGTCCCACAGGTGTTGTATGAGTTTTGCGCTGAGCTCGCTCGCGTCGCTGATGATCTTAGCGTCGTGGTTGCGGTCGAAGAACGCGTACGAGAGCGCGATGGACTTCATGCCGCATACGGCCGCCTCCATCGCGCCGCCGATTGTGCCTGATGATAGAGAGAAGATGGCGGTGCTGTTGCGACCGTAGTTCGGGCCGCTGACTACGAGATCGATCGGGCCGCGGTCGGAGAAGTAGTGGTAGAGACCGATCTGTACGCAGGATGCGGGTGTGGAGTCGACGAGCACCCATTCTTCTTCATTGGAAGAGGGCGGTAGAGGCGAGTTATGGGTTGTACCATGGTTCGTAAGACGACCTTCGGCGTTGGTTTGGAGGGGCGCAGGGCGGTAGTACGTCGGTTGTATCTGTGGCAGTGAGTATGGCGAGCGGCGTAGTAGAAGTGGTGTGTCATACCGACTTGCCCACAAGATGCGCCTTGCCTATCCATGACCGCTGGGTATGTGGGAGAACGACTGAAACGGTGTGTCCATGCTTCTGCAGTGTTGACACCAGCGAATGTACGTAGGGTGAGGACTGATCTGATGGCGGGCCATCATCGTTGGTAACCTAGATCGATCAGTACTTGCCATTGGCTTAGTAAGATACGACAGTCTTACAAGAATATGCATGATTGCTTATGTGGACAGTGCAGCGGGATCTGGCGATGCTGTGTTGTGGATTGGAGATGGAGATGCAGAGGGGCAGACAGTGACGTGCGCTACCAATAAGTCCGAAGCCCGTGGCAGGCAGTCACCGCCTCATCCTTCGCGTCAACACCTCTGCGCTCCCATATTTGTTTTCGCATGGCCGTTTCTTCGACAGAACGGTTGCAAACGTCGTCCGCGAACGCTGCAGGGCAATGGCAAAGTCCGTCAAACTGGCAGTGGTACCTGCGCCATGGGTAGATCCGCTGATGCGCCCTGCATCGTGCCGACGATCAGAGCTTAGCTGCGAAGAAACTCGAACTTCGACGTCGCACCTGGTAGCAGTGTAAACGCGTATGAACAAGACCGATGGTATGAATAGAAGTGCTTGCGACGCCGGACTTTGTCTCGCATCTCCATGGCAGATCTGAACACCCTCATTCGGGGGTTAACCATGGCCCCTCCCCCTTCCGACGTCCGCACGACAGCCGGCACTTCATCCACGACATTTCGAAACGGGAGTGCAGAGTCTACCGGCAGGTTTAGCTGTGTGTAGCTAAAACGACCAGAGCTTCGGGTGCGAAGGTGTAGAGCCGCAGGTCCCTGAAGCAGCTATTTTCGGTGTTCGTTTCTTCGGATCCCCGCCCGTGCCCGCATACCGTGAACACCATTTGTTTCAATGCTGAGACTGAACACTCAAGATGTTTATAAAGAGGCAGTGCAAGATGAGAAAGGTAATCAGTATACCCAATTCGTATCCACCCACCACTTCAACATCTTCAAGCTCCCTACCTTGAAGCTCTATATTCCAACATCCACCGTCCCATAATCATCTAGACACCAACACATCATCAAAATGGTCATCAATGTTCCCACCGCCTCCCTCGAGGGACAAGTCGCTCTCATCACCGGTGCCGGTCGCGGTATTGGAAGGGGTTGTGCTATCGAGCTCGGCAAGCGCGGCGCCTCCGTCATCGTTAACTACGTTTCATCCGAAGGCCCTGCGAACGAAGTCTGCGAAATCATCAAGGGCTTCAACAACGGTGCCAAAGCTGTAGCTATCAAGGCCGATGTCAGCAAAGTCAGCGAGATCAACAGACTATTTGAGGAGGCGAAGAAGGCATTCGGAAAGATCAACATCGTCATGAGCAACTCAGGAACCGAGAGCTGGGACGTAACAGAGGAGATCAGCGAGGAGAAGTACGACCACGTTTTCAACCTGAACACAAGAGCGCAATTCTTCGTTGGTCAGACCGCATACAAGCACATCGAGGACAACGGCCGCATCATCCTCATGAGCTCCATTGCTGCCGGTCTTCTCGGTGTCAAGGACCACGCCCTCTACAACGCCTCCAAGATGGCCGTCATCGGTTTCATCAAGGCCTTCGCAACCGACTTCGGAAAGCGCGGAATCACCGTCAACGGTGTCGCACCAGGAGGTATCAAGTCGGACATGTTCACACAGAACGCCTGGCATTACATCCCCGGCGGTTCGCCTGACTGGCCAGCGGAGAAGATCGAGACACTGATGGCAAACCACTGCCCGCTTGGAAGGTGTGCCGTACCTGAGGATGTTGCGAGGGTCGTCGCTTTCCTCGCATCAGCGGACGGTGGCTGGGTCAACGGTCAAGTGCTGACCATCTCCGGTGGATCATCGCAGTAAGCTGAGACTGAGGTGGTGATGATGAACGAATGACGGTCGCATTGTATGAATTCTAGCGCATTTGATAGAGAGCCCAATTCGAAGCCATCGCTCGAAGAAAAGAATTAGTCATAACAAAATTACGTGAAGTGTTTCCCGCGTGTGCCAACTTTCAAACTGTGTGTCGTGATTAATGTCTGTGCAACCTTGGAAGGCTCCACATACCCTGCCAAGACTTACGTCACCAAACGCGATTAGGCAACGCCATCACGTGGTTCGATCTGCCCGGGCACCTGGGCGCTCATACAAGAAAAAAAACTAAACAGGTCTGCGGACTACATCAAGACAAAGACATGCAATGTGGGTGGCCCAACGTCAACGTAGGTTCTAGGGTGTTCAGGTTTTTCCTAGGTTAGCGTGCGGGCATACCTACTTTACACACCCTGCGACCTGTATCAGGATGTACTTTGGTTGACTGACGAAAATTAAGCTTCTGCCATGAACAGAATCTTGTCATTTGTAGGGGATTTCGACTTAGCTCAGCACGGTGGACCTTTCCTATACCACGGTACTGCCGTGACACGCCGAACACTCCAGCAAACAACACCAAAGCGATCTCAATCATAACGTATACCAAAGTACACTCTTCATAACTAGTCTGAACTAGGACCAGGCTGCAGTCTGAGTTAATGGCGCACTCTATTCATTCCAGACGTTTCCCTCATCGCTTCCATAGGAACTTCAAACTACCAGTAAGAAGACGGCAGTTTGACATCCAACCACACAACCAAAGTTTGAATATTCATGTAGGTCATGCGAGCAGAATTTCATGTGATAATTTTGTAAGAGAATTTCCCCTATAAATACTCTCTACTTCTACTTCATACCTATTCATCTCACAACTCACAAACCCCTCTCTCGGCCACCACCACTAAGCAAAACTGCCATAATACATCCACAATCTCAAGCAGTCAAGAACAGAACCCCTGTTCTTTCATCATGTCAAACTCCAAGCTGTTTAAGGGCAGCCTGAGCGATTTTCCCGAAGAACTCCTTTGCGGAATCCTAGACGAAGTCGGCTCCGGCATCGATGAAGAATACGTCCCTGGCACCACACAGACTCTCCTCTCTCTATCAGCTACCAGCCGCCAGTTCAACCGACTCACAGAGTCTTACCTCTACAAAACCATCAAGACCGATCACTTCCGTTGCAGGAAGCTCGTTCAGCGTCTAGAGGACGACCCCACTCTAGTCACACACATCAAGCGACTCGTCTGGGACAAAAAGCCAAGCGAGACTCCCAAATGGTACGGAGCGCTGTCGGGTCCGCTGAGAACACCAAATCTCGCAC